CCCCTCCCACCTGGAGGAGGAATGGGGGGGAGTGCCCTGGGGAAGCTGGCACAGTCCTGAGTGGGAAGTTGTGCCCAGCTCCTGCCTCCCTTACCTACAGAGCTTGCCAGCCTGACAGTCCCCCCTCCCCAACCCTCCTCCTTGGCCGCCTCTTCTCTCCCAAACATATCCGGGTTCAGGGATTGTATTAAAAGGGGATTTATTTTGGGTCGGGCACAGGTTTTAAAATTAGACCACACACCGAGCCCCAGGGAGAAGAAAGACAAGGGAAAACAGCTTCCGCTCAATTCAGCTCAGTTCCAGGCCGAAGAAAGAGCCCAGGCCCAGGAATCAACAGACCAGGGTTCTAGTCCAACCTCTCCCTCTTGCTACCAATATGACCTAGGCAATTCCCTTCTCATTGAGGGGGCCTCACTTTACCCATCTGTAAAATTTGGTGGTGGGGTGGTCTCAGAAAGTTCGAGCTCTAAAGCACTTAAATTTTCTGGATCTCTGTTTCTTTAACTGTAAAATGAAGTTTTTGGACTGTGTGAGTGTGTGGGGGGGTGTTCATCAGGCTCTGGGAGCAATGCAAGGTCCCCTTATTGGTGGCAAGCGAAAGGTTTCCTAAATAGGAGAGTTGGAATTGGTGCTAGGACTTTCTCTTTTCCCTAACTGTACTCTAGTCCTTGGGTTCCTAAATCACAGGGTTTCCTGTGAGTAGAAGAGGGACATCTGTCCCTTGTGCCCCCCTCTTTCCCCTCCCTTGGCTCTCAAGAGGCCCCAGATTCCAAATTCCACACATACACAATCACCCAGGGTGTGGTCCATGCCACAACAGCTGCTTGGAGCTGAGTTGAGGAAAGACCCCCTGGGCACTAATCCCAACAGGAGTCAGTGCAAAGATCTTGACCCTAGGGCCGCTAATTCATTATCCTGACTCCTTGTGGGATGCCCTTGATTCAGCATGGGTTGAAAGTGGGGGGAGGGATGAGGATCTCTATTCTATCTCTAAAGGGTTTCTGAACCCTCATCCCTAGGAGATCCCAACCAATCTTTGGCCTGGCCTGGGGACAGATAGAGAAACCAAAGGATGACTTTGACCTAAGTTAAAACATGGAGAGTGGTCAACTAGCAGAAATTCAGGGGCCTAACTCCCCATCTCAGATAGTGCTTTGTCTTACTACCTTTGAGCAGAGCTGAGCTAAAACAGTGTATCTCTCCTGAAACCAAGCTACTGTGAATTCCTCAGAATTCATCCCAACCTTATCTCATTGAGCAAGTAGGAATGGCTGAACCCTAGCCAGGGATTCCTGATAGCTCAACATGAACATAGTACAAAACTTAGAAATCAATGAAGCCAACCCAATAATATGATAATAATAGGTAACATTCATATATTGCAAATTATGTGCCAGGCACTGTGATATGCAACTTACAATTATTATCTCTTTTGATCCTCACAACCCTGAGGCAAACAGAGGTTAAGTGACTTGCCCATGGTCACAAAAGAGATCTTATGTCTGAGGCTGGATTTGAACTCAGGTTTTCCTGACTCCAGGCCCAGCATTCTACCCATGGTGCCACCTAGCTGCCCCATAACCTACTCATTTTATAAATGGATGAAATATCAGGGAAAGAAATTATAGGACTAGAACTCAGACCTCTTGAAGGGCAACCCTCTCTTCTCCAGTTAGACTACTCAGATTTCCTTACTTCTATCCCTCCTCTCCATACCCATTCCGACTGCCCCCCCACCATGTTTGCCATACCATCCATTTTGCCCAGTTCAGATGATCCTTCCCTCAGATAAACTAAACAATTCCTTTTCCTTAGTTTCTCTTCCCCCAGAGAAGTGCTTTAATGTTGGCTACAGGGGGCAGGAAACCAGAGAAGATCCCATGAGCCCTGCTTTACCTTTCCTCACCTCCACCGAGCTTTTTAGCTTCAGCCTTCTTCCAGGATCAGCTCAATTCCTATGGGGTCCCCCTCATGTCCTTGCTTTTTTGTGCATACAGTTGAGTCCTCCGTTGGAATGTAAGCTCTTTGAGGACAGGGACTGGTTTTTTGCTTTTCCTTTGTTTCACTATGCCTGGCACTGTGCCTTGTATATAGCATGTGTTTAATAATTGTTAGGCTATATAGGATTGGATTCCTACTTCTCAAGATCTTTCCACATCCATGGCCTCATTTGATTCTTATAACCCCCTGGGGTGGAAGGTTAGGAACAGGATGAACCTAATGCACCCAATTTTGAATGCCAAGAGAAGGAAAGTAAATTGCCTTAAATTACATAGTGAACTAGGGGACTGCAGAGGATCAGAACCTAGGGCTTCTGACCCCCCAGTCCAACCATCATTCCCATTTACTACCCAGATTGGTGGTGTTTTTGGAAGGGATCTCAGAGCTCACCTAGTACAAACTATACCTCAGTAAGAATACAGTACGATAAATGGTAGTTCAACCTTTAAGTGAAGACCCTCAGTGATGGGGAATTCACTGTCACTCACGTCACTCAGAATCATGGAATCTCGGAGTTGGAAGGAACCTCAAAGCTCATCAATCCCACTCCAAGTAGCCCCTTCCACTTGAAGGGGGATTTCCTCTTACTCCAGACACAAGATTACTAGGGTCATATGATTCATATTTTTATGTCAGTTTCCAACCCTGTACTTGTCAATTCCATGCTTGGATCCATTATTTGCTCTTCACACAACCCTGTGAAGCGAAGGTATTTCTTCATAGCTGAGGGAACTGAGGCACAGAAAGTTCACCCTGTGAGTCAATGGTAGAGCTGGGATTAGAAACCAGGTCCGCTGATTCCCTGGGTTCTTTTTGTTAACCCCCATAGGGATTAGGTGAAACGATGCTTAGTCTATTGCTGAGGGCAGAGAACAGTTTGAAGTCCTAGCTCTGGGCCTTGGGGTCTCTTGACCTGCCTGGGCAGGGGAAGCTGAGGGGTTTGGAGGGAAAAGGGACTTCCAGTTGGGCATGTGTGTTAGATCGCAAACTGGGGAGTGGACAGATTAATGACCAGTAGAAAGTTAGTGAAGTATGCTATGAAGGATAGGTATAGATGGAGGATTGGACCTGGTCTGGAGATGGCTCTCCTTTAGCAAACTAGGGAAGACCTGCCGGGCCTGCTACTCTCCAGCTCATGGGGCTGAGGGATAAAAGAGGGGACAGAGAGAAGAGTGCCTGATGGGCACCTCCCCAGTGCCAAGCCCTCTGGCCCACTCCTTGGGCCCTAAGAGTATTACACAATGTCTCCTCCTCCCATGTGGAGAGACCTGGGATCTGGGCCACAGGGGTGAAGGGAAGGAGAGGTAGACCCCTCACCCTGGGGAGAGTTCCTTCTGAACCTTTGGGAAGCAGATAGTGAGGAACTCAGAGAAGGTGATAATTCTAAGAATGCCTCATATTTCCTCCCAATTTCCCTTCCAGTCTTTCATTTGAGCTTCCCTATATCCCTGAAAAGTCAGCAGGTCAGGAATGATTGTCCCCATTTTACAGCCAAGGAAACTGAGGCTCAGAGTGGGAAAATGACTTGCCCAAGGTCAATTCAAAGCCAGAACAGGAATACAGATCTCCAGCTTTCGGCACAGGGCTGTGTTTCCATTGCACCAGGGAGGAAACCCAGGTCAGGAAAGAACAGACACAGGGAGCCAGGTGGGGGTGGGGTAGAGGGGGACCATGGGGTCTGAGTTTTCTGTCCTGCCACAGGGAAGTCTCCCCTTCCATCTGTAGGGAGAAAGGAGACGAATGACTACCCCTCATACGAAGGGGGGTGGGGGCAGATGGTGGTATGGTAAAGGGGGGGGGCTGGGAGCCAGAGCAGTCTTAAGACTATGGAGGTGGGAGGGGGGAGGAGGAAGGCAACCCAGCCTGGCTGCAGGGAGGGAGCGGGAAGCAGAGCCGCGGCCGCCGCCTCTGCAGTGCCTGCGGAAGCCCACGGCCCGGGACACCGCAGGGAGGGGGCCCAGCAAGCTGGCGAGACGCGGGGGAGCCCTGGCCACGGAAAACCGAGACTCTTTCAGGAGCGGCGCACAAGTCACAGAAGCAGGGCCACTCGGGGGAAGGGAGGCTGCTCCAACTCTCCCGAGGGGGTGGGCTGAGGGTCCCAGGAGGGAACGGGCGGCGCCGCAGGGGTTAACGGGCGCCGGCCGCCGGCCACTGATCAATAATTGAAAATCCAGAATGGATGCGGGCGATAAGAAGCCGCGCTCGATCGAGGGGGAGGGGGAGGAGGCTAGGACGGAGAGCGCACAGGACCTCCCTCCCCCTCCCCCCGTCCCCCTTGGACACACACAGCAGCTGCCCCCCCCCCCCCCCCCCCCCGGGGGGGGGGGGGGGGGTGGCTGCCCGCGCCCAGCTCTCTCGGCCCGGGCCCCCTTCCAAGGAGGGGGATGGGGGCTGCAGCGCGTTACCAGCGGAGAGAAGCCGAACGAACCCCCTCCCCCCGGTATAACGCGGCGCTCGGGAGCGCTCGGCCCCCAAACTTCGCGGCTGTGGAGCCGCTGCAACTTTGCGCACTCTGCCAAGGCGCCCAACCCGCCTGCCCCCTCCCCTTCCCTTTCCCCCCACATTACTCCGCCGCCCCCATCCCCCAGCCTTTTCCCAGCGCACGTGCGCTGAACCCCCCTCCTCCTCCCAAAGCCCCGCGCGCTCCCAGGCCCCCCCGCGGGAGAGGGAGGGGGACCCCGCAGCCGTTTACCCTCCCCAAAAGGATTAAGAGGTCCCAGTTCAAATACTGCCCCCAGTTCGGGCTGACAGTACGGGAGCCCTCCAAGAGGACTCCCCCCTTCCCTTATTTAACCTGGTCCCGGAAAATCGAGGCCCTAGGGTGGGGGTGGGGGGGCGGGGAGCTGGCAGCCGTGGCCCCGGCAGCCGCAGGAGACGACGAAATCCCGCCTTTTTGTGTGTGTGTGTTTTTCTCGCCCCTTCTCCCTGCAACTGGAAAACTATTTTTGCAGGGACGAGGTAGAGGAAGGGGGAGGGGGGCTAAGTCGGGACTGCCTTACCTGGGTCAGGCACAGCGGGGACGAATACATGCCGAGCGGGCCTGGGAGGCTCCCGGGTTCGCAGGGGAGAAAACACGGCGGCTCCAAAGTTACTGAGTCATATGTTCACCCCCCACCCCCCACCCCGCCTCTGTCTCGCTCCCAGTCTCTGTCCTTCTCTGGGTCTCTGGGTCTCTTCTCTCTTTGTCTCTCTCCTCTTGCTGTCTCTCTCCTCTTGCTGTCTCTGTCTCTTCTCTGTCTCCCTCTCCTCTCAGTCTCTCTCTCCTTCTCCTCCACCTCCTCTCTCTCTCTCTCTCTCTCTCTCTC